CAATATCAAGATAACCATCTATCATTGTGTGCGCGATCACCTTATTCCTATTGCTAAATTCTCATATGGTTTATGGGTGTTACGCGTTATCTTTACCACCCATCAGAGCAGAGATGGATTTACAATTAGGCAGAGTAGGTCCATGACCTGTAAGGGGCACCTATTTTCAACACTTATAATACTGAATGAGACAATTACACCCAGGAAGTTCAGAGACAACTCAGTGTCAGTAGCTGTTATGAACTATGCTCCAGGAACCCGTTCTGTGAGAGACTTGCTAAATTGATGATGGATTGATCGACAACGATTTCATAACATATTTGATTGTCTAATTCTGTGATGCCTGTCCTACATGTATTATCAAAGATTAACAAAAGGTTGGTTAACACCATTGGAAGGCCCACCGGGCCAATATGGAGTCTGCACTACAACCTTTAGTCACTCTCCTGGATAGGTTTCTCAATCCTTTAGTGAATTAATTTAAATCATTCTTCCTTGACGGTGCTGATTTACTACAGAAATCGCCTAATTTTTCAAATGCATCCTTATACATATCCATTACACGTGATGGTGGCATGCCAACTTTAAAGAATTACTTGAGAGACAGGTCTTTGACCATGGACTTCCTTATAAATGTCTTGTAAATCTGACATGTAAATCTGGCCCTACATCCTATCTTACATTGGATTTCACTGGATTTTATTTAAGGACAAGCTATTTAGGCAGGTCACAGAGACTGAGATGGGGTTGAATATGGCCCCATCATATGCCAATTCGTTCATGAATAAATTTGTGAAGGATTGAGTGTATACTCAATTGTAGCACACACCATGGCACTACATCAACTATATCTTTGGTATCTAGGATGGTCCCTTCAGCCCTTAGAGGAATTCTTTACCTATATTAACTCTGTGAACCCTAATATAAAATTCCTCATGAACTGACACCACAATGAGATTAATTTCTTGACCTGGTCATAAATAAAAACAAAAAGAATGTATGTACTGAAATAACTCTCCTTACTGAGGAAAACCAAAAAATAGCAAACCTTGTCAGTTATTGAGATCCAAAGCGACTAGAGCCAAGAATGACCCTAGACTCCTATTTGTTGCTCCATTAGCATTTAGCAGAAATATGGCCAATGTCCTACACAAACACTGGAGGAGCTTAAGTAACTCATATCCTGGGATACCTGAACTACGATACACTCCAAAATGTAGAACAAGAATCAAAGACAGTCTAGGTAATGCTGACATTGCCTCCTCTGGAAGGGAAACACAAACATTTGTGTCCCCTCTCAAATTATGACACTTATCCATGTTTGAATTGTGGGACCTATAACAATGTTATCAAGGGAGACACATTTAGTCATCCAAGGATGGGATGTACATTTAAGGTCACTTCATCTGTTCATGTTCATCTATGGTTGTGTGAGGGGCAAATAAGGCCGTAAAGGAAATAAAAGGGGGAGGGGAATAAGTCGGTTGTGGTGTGCCGGAACCGACGTCGTGGTAGGCCTGTAATAAAAGAGGGCCCACCCATGAAGTGTAATGGAAGTATAATAAAGGGAGTGGAGGGTGGGGACATGCGAATCGTCAAAACGAACGGGACTGAGGAAGGTGAGGAGGGGGTTTACGTAGGTTAATATGCCCCTCCCACAACTGCAGGCCAAGCCTTCACATTTGTGTGAGGGGCAAATAAGGCCGTAAAGGAAATAAAAGGGGGAGGGGAATAAGTCGGTTGTGGTCAGCCTGTAATAAAAGAGGGCAAAAAGGAAACCTGTTTAAAAGCAATCAACAACCTTAAATAACCTATCTGTGTGGTAACAGCTGAGTGAGTAATGAGGCGCCCGGCGCTTACAACGGCCCTCTAACTTGTGCAAGGGGAAGTAAGGAAAACATGTTGGCCGTCTAGCGTAAACTGGGTGTGGGGTAGAGAAAGTAAACATTAGACTGCATAAATAGGTGAGATTTCCTGAGACGGTGCTGCAAAAAACAAAACGTGGTGACTGTGGGAGATATGTGTGTTCACAAGAAACTGTACAGCGGCTTAACAACAAGACTACCTAGTAACCTAGCTAAAAGACTAGCGTCCCCCAAATTCTGGCCTACCTCACATCTGTGATTAAAAACTGTTGATCCAAAAGAAGGCGAAAAAACCCAGTTTGATGAAATTTTTCCAATTTGCAACAAGCTAGGGAAAAAATTCCTTCTTGACCCCATAATGGCAGTCGGATTTGTCCTTGGATCAAGCAGATATCGCCCTACATTGAAAGTTGATGCCCGGTCGTGATGACCAGTGGTAAATAGGTCTAATAGTGATTATAAAACTTGGCTATAGATGGGAAATCTGGAGATTGAAAATTCCCAGAACTTGAACCCTTGAGTATGGTAAAACTGGTATGACGACATGAAAACGCGTGTGACTAGAAACCCTGTACAACATGTGAAGTTATAGACCGGACAGATAGAGTTGATGCAAGTAAGAGGTGGCAAAAAGAAGCAAAAGTCAGTCGCGGACAACATATCAACAGAGACAGTACACGTGATATGTGAGACAGGAGCCTCCAAGGGGAAGAAGGTCCGCAAACACAGGCACTGCGAGTGCTAGAAAAATGAGAGCCAGACGTGAAAGAAAGGCAACCACGAACTTACAAAGCTGGCAGCCCACGAACAAGCCCAGAAAAGCTGGGAATGGAAGCGACTGCGGGAGAGGCCATAGGCAGGGCCACATTAGAAACGCGTAAAGGAGGCACAGGACTGATCGTACGAAAGAGGTGCGGGAAGACCGGTTCGGATCCAGCCAAAAGGGCAGATGCCAGCTACCCAAACTGCCATCCGACACTGCCCCATAGCCGACAGCGGCGATACCCAAGTAGGTGGACAGACACTGACCGGAAGGCTGCCATGGGGGAATAAGCCGACTCGCGAGAACCGCAGCAAATCTAGGAAGCGCCCAGGACCTGAGAAAAAGAAGGTAGGCATAGCCAAAACTCCACGGGGCGATGAGAACCTGACCCAGACCTGCTAGAAAAAAGACGAAGAAGACCCCGCATAAGCGACCCAACATGCGCGTGAGCGTGAAAGAGTGTATGTGTGCGAGCTGGCATACTAGCTAATGCCAAAAGGCGAAACAATTAAAAACTAGGTTTGGTGACAGGTGAGGCCCTGCTAGATGCCAAGCGGCGTGAGAGGCTCTAACTATGCGTTTGTGCGAGGGGATAGCGTGGCCACTGAAACGTTGTGGCGGGGTGTTGGCCTCTCGGTGACAGCTAAGCATAAGATAGAGTGGGAGTGACAGGTGAGGCCCTCTCTATGCCACAGTGCGAGGCGACTAACTATGAGTGGGCCCGAGGGGGTGTAGTACCTCAGAGTATGAGGATGGGTGTTGGCCTCGCAGGACCACTAACCTAAGGCGAAGAAGCCAGGGGGGAATTACAAAACTAGTGGACACCTAGGACCCTGACAGCCAGCCACAGCTAACTAAGAGGGGAGGGAAGGCAGTGTGAGAGGACAGATGTGCTGAAACAAGTATTGAAACCTGTGAGGGTGAACGAGGAAAACCGTAGTGCCGACCGTAACCGAAATCAGAGTAAGCACGACAGAGTCCGGGTGGACAGGCTGAAAGGAGCAAGCACGGCAGTAGGAAACAGAAACTGTGGTGGTGTAAACCCCATGGGGGTCACAAGACCCAGTGCGCGTGTGTGCGTGTGTGTGAGAGCGCTGGCATACTAGCTAGGCCGAAAAGGCGAAACAATTAAAACTAGGTTTGGTGACAGGTGAGGCCCTGCTAGATGCCAAGCGGCGAGAGAGGCTCTATCTATGAGTTGGCGCGAGGGGAGAACGTGGCCACTGAACGTTGTGGCGGGGTGTTGGCCTCTCGGTGAAAGTTAAACATAAGATAGAATGGGAGTGAGAAGTGAGGCCCTCTCTATGCCACGATGCGAGGCGACTAACTATGATTTGGCCCGAGGGGCGTAGTACCTCCGAGTATGAGGATGGGTGTTGGCCTCGCGGGACCATTAACCTAAGGCGAAGAAGCCAGGGGGAATTACAACTAGTGGACACCTATGACCCTGACAGCCAGCCACAGCTAACTAAGAGGGGAGGGAAGGTAGCGTGAGAGAGGATGGATTTGAGGAATGTGTATCGAAAGAACGTGAGGGTGAACGAGGAAGTACCACGCCTGTAACCGAAAAGCAGAGGAAACACGTCACGGAGTCCAGGAGGTCAGGCCGAAAGGAGCCAGCCCTGCGACAGGCAATAGAGTATGAGTTGGTGTAAAGCCCACTGGGATTCGCGAGACCTCGTGTGAGTGATAGGGGAGGGAAAGAGTGGGAGAGGGGACGTACCGTGTGAAAGAAAGAAAAGGGGGCGGGGAACGAGGAAGAAAACGTAGGGGCAACTGCCAATGGAGGGCAGAGTGTACCACGAGTCTAGTAAGTGTAAGGGGACGCTCCACGAGGGAACTGCGCTGCCTGGGAGCAGTGATGCGTATGATGGGTTAACAAACGCGCAGAACCGGTGTGGCCCCAGACCCCCCGCTTCCCGCCCCATATAAAAACCCTGCTCCCTGGCCTTGTGAAAAACCGAATGAGACTCGCCCACCTGCTAGTTAGACTGTGAAACACACACCAGATGCATAAAAAGCAACATACATGCAATTAGAAGTAGCAGCACAGATATCTGCATAAATCGCCAGCATGTCTGCTTTCCCCAAGGCAAACTCTGTCTCTTGCATTTAAGGCAAACAGGGAGCTGGGAAAAGCATAGCTGAAGCAGGCAATCAATCATCCACACCGTTCCATCTCACATTGCACCCAGCTACCACAAGCCCCAAGTGAGAAAAAGGGGAGCTGAGCAGGCACGTGTGAGATGAAACAGCACATGAAAAAGCCAGCACCAAGAACCCATCTCCTCCATAATAGCAGTGTCCAGAGACACTTGCCCGGCAGGGCCAGCCCAAAACCCGTCCAAGGACTCAACAAACATTTACCAGCCATGCCCAAGCATCCCACCTCACCCAGAACTGCACCCAACAACAATGCCTGCGCGGCCGCATGGACTCACGACTGTCGGCGAGTGCAGACGAGAAAAAAAAAACAAAACAAAAAACGCGAGAGTGCCGCCGACCGACAAGTACGCCCGAAAGAGAGGCGCGGCAAGCACAGCCGCCAGAAGGGGCACCGCAGCAGAGCCCCCACCCCCCCCCAAGAGCCCAAAGAACACCCGCAAAAACAGAGACCCGAGGCTCGCAGCGCCAGAGGCAGAGCCCAGGAGGACTGAGGACCAGTGAGCAGCAAGGGAACAGCAGGCCAGGAGAGCGAAGCCATGAGGAGCAAGAGAGAAAAGATGACCCGACATGCGAATCGTCAAAACGAACGGGACTGAGGAAGGTGAGGAGGGGGTTTAAGTAGGTTAATATGCCCCTCCCACAACTGCAGGCCAAGCCTTCACATATATGATATATGATCTATCTTCTTAAATGCCTTTGCTAATTAATCTATATAGGTGAAACTAGTAAAGGATCATCTGGCTGACTCTAATGACTGATCAGCGTGTACTGGACCATTTTGATCCACTTTGTTATACCATATCCCAATGCTTAGATACTAATTCATTGACATGTTGAACCCCTGAGGAGGGATGGTGACAGTGAAATGTTTTACCCAGAAATAACTATATTGGATTTACATTCATGATTCTCTACAACCAAGGGGCTTAAATATGGACTTTGATGTACACCTACAGTATTACTCTGAATTGTTCCAATTTTGTATTTTTGTCATTTGCTGGGTTATGTTATTTACTGACTTGCTGTTTATTCTCTATAAGTGTGTTGTATTTGTGGGGTCTGTTTTATGTTAATATATCCCTTGTTTTATTCAGTTGTTTTGTTTTTTTTCCAGATTGCCAGACTGCCCTTGCTCTGGGGACTATCCTAGTTCCTTATTTGTTATAAGTTAAAATGTAACTTCCATACCACAAATGTATTGCTCTTGATGACTTAATATCCTCTTATGGTATTGCTATGTATTAACATGTTGTATTTATGTCTAGTCCAGATTTTGTTATTATGTTACCACACACTCTGTAGATTCCATAATAGACTAATCTGTAAATGATCAATTTTTATGTCCATTTTGGCATCTGCCATTATGCAACCGCATACTCCAAAGATGTCACTATATATAATACTTTGTCAGGAATCTCTTGATTGGTGTTTACTGGGTGACATTAGATCACATATCCTGCCATTTACACATTAGCTCTTTTCACTATCATATCACCCTGTGAGCATTCCCTTACATACTACGTAACTTTATACATACTATTTAGTAAATATTTAGTATTAACACTCCACGATACAGATAGACACTTGTGTCTATCACTCCATCTGCGTCACTGACTTTCACTATTCGCTTTGTGACACGCTGAGCTTGGGTTATTAGACGTATATAAGTTTGACATCATATTTCAGCATGCCCTGTATGGCCTGGTTGGGATCCCATATATATATGGCTCCTGGATATAGATATTTTGCTATTTCGGTTTACTTCACATATTAAGGGTCTCCTAGGTTATACTTTTACCACACGACTGCACTTTGTTACACGACTGTAGAGTTTTCTTTACATTGGTATTTCCCCCATTTGATGTTTGATACATTTCGATGTAGATTGTATGAAGCATACGTCCCTATCTGTTAACCCAGCGACTGAAAACATAAACATATTGCAGGAATTTTACCTCTTGTGGTTGTCACACTGACACTGGGAAACATTGGATTGACTGAGATCATCTACACTGATGATCTCAGCCAGAGTAGCGGAGAGACAGGATGGTAAGTATTACTTAACCTTCAAACCCTCACACAGTGGGGGACAAGCATCATTATAGGTAGCAGGACACTATAGCATTAGAAATACATGTTTGTATTCATACAGCTATAGTGTTCCTTTAATAATAATAATAATTATTATTATTACAATTGTTTTGGTCACTTACCTATTTTGTAGAGGTAGTTTTAGAGTTTATTGTATATTATATACATTCCCTTCCTTGGGCACATAACCACTAACACAAATACATTTTAGCATGAACAATCAATGTGTAAGGACTGTCACAGTGGAACAAATATTACATCTACGTTCCACACCAGTTTGAAGGAAATGTCACAACTATGATAATAAGCGAGAAATGTTCATGTCACAATGGGATCTATCTTTGTAAAGTACTTTTACAATTTTTAAATCATTATACAAGGCAAAATTATTTACAACAAACATTATTTCCTGCTGTTTTATTACCACAGCCATCATTTCATTTGATCATGCACTTTGTCACGTTTCCTTATTTGTTGCTGTTTATAAATTCTGTCAAGATAAAGACAATTTTTTGTTGCAATTCTTCATGTTAGTAGACAATCATCACCCACAGGTCATCATGTCTGACCGTGTTTGAGGATTTCCGTAATTCTGAGTTGCTTCGTCTGCTTTGCTTTACAAGTGTGTTTTTATTTTCATGCTCCAATCCTGATAACCAGAAGGCAAATAACTTATGGTATCTGCATCCTGGTATGTTGGCTGCTATGACAAACTCTCAGTTTCCTTGTTCCTTTTCCCAGTGCCACGCAGTAGGCTTGTTTTTCTGCTTGCTTTCTGCTTCCTGATATGTCCTAGTCTGCCCTGTGTGTCGTTAGATAGTGTCCTATCTACTATTTGGATTCGATCACTCTATACTCCTAACACTTATTGTACCTGTGGCCTGGTTGTGAGGTCTACAAAGCAAAGGCATGAGGAGGAGGCTTGCCTTGGGCCAGACTTTTCCTAAAATGTTCTCCGCATGTCGGACTTACCTCTTGCATAACTCTAACTGTTGCAAAAAAATTTGTTTGTTTGAAAATGTATACTGTATCTTCATATGTTACATCACAGCCATCATATAGCCTCCGGTAAAGGCTTATCTGACAGTCTGCCATTTTCAGAAGGTCCTTAAAGAGAAAGAACAACATAGATCTTATTCTTAGGATAAGACAACATCCTAAAACACTCCCAGCAGAGGCCCATGGAAGCTAGCAAGAACAGAAAGTGCATACATTTTCTGTAACCTCAAGACAATCAGCAGCTCGAATAGGAAAAAAGCGAGGCTTTGTTAACAGATAGAAAGGAATCCGAGAGACTCTGCCCTGATGATACAGAGAAGAGCTGTGGTGTGACTGAATACAATTCTCATGGGTATCTATGTGCCACCTGCAGCTTCAATGCGGTGGACAGGAAACAGAAGGAAAATTATACACAATAAACTGTATTTAAAAAAACCTGATGATCAAAGAGATGTTGAGGCCATGGCCTGATTACAGTTTGATCTATACATTATGCTAAACAAAATGTGAGACAATATGTTTCTCTAAAATAATAATCATTTTGCGGAGAAGCATGAAGGATCACTATTGTACTAAGTGTAGTAATTGTATTTATTATTATAAACTATTTTAGCAGTAAATGTACATTAAAACGTATCGTGTACTCAATTATACTGTTTTATTATAGTTTTGCTTACAATCATATTTGCTGTTTTATTACCCATCTGGTGCAAATCATCTAGCTACTATGTTTTTTTAGTTTTTTTAGGCCAAACTATATTAACTTCTTAAAAACCCAATTTACACCTTAAAATACCTAATTGGATATTGTAAATGTTGTCTGACACAACATACTGTCGTCTGTTTAATACAATAGCCCTTATCAGTTGTACTTCTAAATTTGTGCTTTATGCAAACACCAGAGATAAGGCTTTGAATGACGCTTACAATGATGTTAATTTAAAAAAAAAATGCTAAATTTGGAGAACCCTTGTTTACATGATCTTTAACTATTGATGTGATGGCCAATCTGCTTGTGGTTCGGTCTAATTAACCAGGATAGTACCTGCCTGTCAGTGCCTGAAATGAAAATTGATTGCCCCTAAAAATCACAGAAATTAATAAATGTTGGATATTATTGGAAAGTTATGGTATTTACCTTCACTTCTGGTGGCCATATCCTTTCTTTACAGGTGAGCAGATAATAAACGACCCTTTCATATTGCTCTAGCATCTGGTACAGATATAGGTCTCAAATAATCCCTAAATACCCATTGTTTCAATAGTTATATCATCAAAGCCCAATATGTATCAAAATTGAAATTAAAAATCTCATGGCCCTCATTCAAAAATGTTTTCAAAGAATTTGGAATACTGACCCGTAACGAGAGTGACTGTGATATGGGCTGTGTAGAGCTGTTTGTGCTCATATTTCATTTACACTAAACATGTGTATGTACTCTATTTTACCAATACCCTATGTCCAGGGTTTTGTTCTTTACTTCCTTGCTAACTACTTCCATTGCAGTATTGGTCGCAGATCACAGTATTTGAATACCAGGAGCAAGAAGGAAGGAAGGACAATATAGTTACAAAAGGGTGAGAGGGTGTTCTGGTTGTGAGGGGTGCAGTGTGTGTGTGTGTGTGTGAGTGTGCTACAAGTGTCAGGCGTGCAGTGTGTGTGTGTGTGTGAGTGAGGGTGCTCTGAGTGTCAGGGGTGCTGTGTGTGTGTGAGTGAGGGTGCTGTGAGTGTCAGGGATGCATTGTGTGTGTGTGTGTGAGGGTGCTATGAGTTCAGAGCTGCAGTGTGTGTGTGTGTGAGGGTGCTGTGTGTGAATGTTCATGTCACAATGGGATCTATCTTTGTAAGGTACTTTTATAAGAGTAGTGTGTGTGTGTGTGTGTGTGAGGGTGCTGAGAGTGTCAGGGGTGCAGGGTGTGTGTGAGTGAGTGAGGGTGCTTTGAGTGATTATATCCTCCCTCCCTTCTTACTTTTAGCCTGGTAGGGGGATCGTGCTGCCATCCCTGGTGGTCCTAGTGGTGAGTGAACTCTAGCCTGTGGGGCTAGAGTTCACTCTCGCGAGACCCGGCGACACACACTCAGAATCTCACGAGAGGAACCCGGCGGAGCTGTAAGTTAGAGCTCCTCCGGGTTCCTCTCTTGTCTCCCTCCCTCTCTCCCCCCCCGCTGCTATATACTACATGTGGGCCGATGAGGGAGATCTTTGATCTCCCCACCGGCCCGTCATGGACTACTGAAGGGCCAGCGCTCGCATAGTGCCAGCCCTGCATAGACCGGCAGGGGAGATTCTGTGATCTCCCCTGCCAGCCTTGGACTCTGGCCACCGCTGCCCACTGGGCATTTGCGCGGTGTGCCCGATGGCCAGTCCAGGCCTGCAGCTTATTAAATATAGCAACAAAA